TCGGGGGAGTGCGGGGCTGATTATTATTCAAGTTTTTCCTGATACAGAACTAATTAATAAAACATTAGTTCTGTATCAATGATACAGAATGACTCGCTGTTTTTGAAACTGAAACTGGTGCTCCCATTTATGGCTTTCTTGTTCACACGGTCTTTTTGCCAGTCGCAAAATAAGGTTGCGGACCATTTTGTTGAATACTTTGTGGAACACTCGCCCAAACAATAGCGCTTTCCTCTATGTTCGACATGTCTTCGAGGGAGAAATGGAAGCCAACTGATTTAAATTTTGTTAACTATGAATGCCTAATATCTTTCAATTCCTTTGAGAATTCTAATTTTCCATAGTTTGGCAAGCACATTCTTTAAAAAAACCATAGGAAAATGATCAATTTTCAGTAGTAAGTAATAAAAGCTTCATCTGCAAAATCAAACTTTCAATCAATCATTTAGATTCCCTTGATAATTCAGTCGTTTCATGAAACAATGGCACCATACAAACAGTTATATTTTACGAATATTTAATAACTGCGACATACGTTACCACTGATAATCGATGAATGCAGCAAGATATTCGATCAATTTTTCAAAAACATTATAATGTGAATTATTATAAAKTTTGTTAAGCCGTATACAGAACTAATGTTCTGTATACATTACTTACATTTTGTGCGGCGGTTGTAATAATAAAAAAGTAAAAAAAGGCAATTCTGATAAGAATATCCGGCACCTTGGGATCCGCCATCTGTGGATTTTTCTCATGAAAAGAACTAAAAATTAAGGGAAAAAAATAGGTAGAATTGTATGAAATACTTATCAAACTAACATTTCATGAATAAAAAAGAGAGTTTTTAAGTGTTACTGTTGATTTTAATGAAAGCTTCTCACATTTAAAAAAAAATGACCAAAAACTACTTGCTATGGTATTGTCTAATGGAAAAAACCTCAATAAAGTAGAAAATGCACAATAAAACAAGAATAAGCCTAAAAATGAAACATTCAGCATATTTTACTTTAAAAAGTATAAAATTGCCATGGTGACGTCACATTTAGGTCCCTAAAGTCAGAAGTTAATGTGACAGTAAAGTTTACATGCAAATGGGGTGACAAATGATCCTCTCCAGACACTGATTGGAAAAGAAGCCGAGTCAGAATAGTGTCAATTGAAAAGGCAGCACCGCTAAGCTTACCGCAGAGGGGTAGATGGTTATTATATGACATTCGCTTAATGCATACTAGTTTCGATACTAGTTATCTGAACTCATTTTTAGAGAAACATATACAATAAAACAGCCATGAACATATTCATCCTGGAAGTTTATTGACAAACCATGCATTGGAATCATCTTTATGGTACTTTTTTGGCTAGGTTAACGCCATTCGCAAGTATTGCCGGCCCATCCATATCTAGAAAACAGGTWAAAAATTGTAACTGAAAAATAATCAATTACAACCAGTGAGGGAAAGAGGGGGTTTGCTCACCACATGCCCCTAGCCTCCTCCCCACCCTTGCTTTTGGAATGGATATTGACATTTTATGAATACAAAAGAATAAAAAAAGATAAAATAACGGAACAATTTTCATGTGCTCGAGCCTCGAGAGTATAGATATCAGGAAATTCCACCAACCAAYCAACCAACTCATAATGATGTCGTTATTATATACAATAGCCTCAGGAATTTGCATCTTTTTCCAAACCAAGACTAACACTGTATTTTTATATTTTTTTCGCGATTTCTTTTGCTTTCGTTAAGGTCTTGTTTTTTATGTCAAATAAAACAGCGCTTATTCTCTATCAATTCGAAAATTTGGTATTTATCTATTTTTCAATCACCTGCATCCATCAATTAATTAATTAATAAAATATTCCATAAAGCCTTTCATCAGGCTGTTTCTTGTGTTTTTGGCATTGATGTGTACAGTTTTGGTGTTAAACGACGCATGGATACTTACCGCCGGCAGTACATGCCTGGCCTACAGTCAAGATCTATTCTACAAGGCATTCCTCTACCTCGATCTCCATCTCCACCTCCACCTCCACCTCCACCTCCACCTCCACCTCCACCTCCACCTCCACCTCCACCTCCACCTCCACCTCCACCTCCACCCCCACCTCGTGTTGGTTCTGGTTGAGGCTGATACATGTCTGGTCGTTCACACATTTCATTAATGTCAGATCCACTTGTCGCATCACTGATTACAAAAATAATCCCAGGGTTGGAATCCGTAAACGACGATTACCCGAGTTCGAAGTGAACTTTTCTTTTTTCTTTGTCCAAATTGGATCATATCAAAGTCATTGCATACAAAAGCTTGTATCTACTTCCGGTGAACACGCCCCAAACAATGCCCCACTATAGATAACATCCGATATATTTGAACCTTTTGCTTATTTATTCAGAATCGGCTCTAAAATGTCGATTATCACCACTCGATTTATAAAAAGTAATATTTAAGCTTTAGGAAAATCGTATTTTTTTGGCAAAAGTATAAAAAATAAGAAGGTCAAAATTCGATTTTCTGAATCAAGGTTGCGTGCCCACACAAGACGTTTTGAACTCTTGTAACCACCTTAAAATTGGGTAGTACAACCTGTACGTCCGTACTCCTTTATGCATGCCTATACTGTAATATTTTCGCAACATTCGAAAAGAGCAGCACATTTGCTAGATTTTGATGCATAATTTGCCTATTAAAAGTTTAAAGGCCGATTTAGACAGTACAACTTTTGCCTACAACCATCGCGTGCAAGCTATTGCGTCATCCTTGCGACACGACGTAAGCCAGAATTACACRCCTATGATATTTTGGCTATCACTCGCCTAAATCGCGCGCGACTCATTGTTCAAACTTTCACAAAAAAATGGCTTAAATGCAACACTCCTAGCGTTTTTTTAAAGTAGTCTTTGTGTCTTCAATTGAAAGGCATCTCCTCTTTGCTCCATAGACTAATTAAATGCTCTAGTTCCTCGTCCGTGAAGTTTCTACACTCTTTCTTGGGAGTCTTTTGGTCGCCGCCATTTTGAATTCACAATACTACCTCCGCAACGGTCTCCCACGCGGCAGCGAAATTTGCTCGTTCTTCCGCTACGATTGTGGTATTTTAAAGCAAGTTTTAAAACTCTACAACTTTTTTCTTGTCGCACACAACTGACTTGAGTAAGTTGTAGAGAAGATTTACACGACACAACTCGATGCGACGGTTGTAGGCAAAAGTTGTAGCGTCTAAATTGGCCTTAAGGGGTCAAAACACGATGAAAGCTCGATCTATTTCATATTATTTTGCTGTTCTTCGCCGATCTGTGGACTCCTCGGGAATCTTTGAATATGGCCCAAACATGACATGCAGATATTCGGTAAATGATTCTCCCTCGCTCCATTACAAGTCTTACAATATCAACAAGTAAATATAAACAAATTGAATAAAATCATTACAAATTTGATTTCTTTTTTTACTCAAATATGTTGAGACAAAAAATTGTATTATTTACAGCTATCTTTCTCTACACAATCGCAAGAGAAAATAAGAGCGTTGGTGATTCGTATGTGCTGAAATTACAAATAAATTAWTTTATCATGAACTTGATTTTTTGTTATTGAAGATTAAAAATAAAGAACTGTCTAGTAGGGCAGAAGAGAGAATTAGAATAGACATTGGCAGTCTGTACGTGAATGACTTTGATATGCTTCCATAATTCAAGATGCCAGAAGGTTAGTTGATCCAAAATATTTCCAATGAACACTCTTGATTCGGCCGTAAATCCAATTGAATTTGAATGGTCGACTTAACTTTAAAAACTGGACAGAGACAAGATCGTTTTACTACAGGAAGCCCAAAACTCAAAGCTGATTTGGCCGCTACGGACAATAAGCCAATAAGCATGTTAATTTTAACATCAAGAAACGAGAGACGATTAATAAACATATCCAAACTGAAGATGGCTTTATGAAAGTCGAAAACAGGTCTTTGAAATTCAATGTTGTCAGTGTCATTTAAAAAAAAAAGATATTGCATCTAACTTGTGTTTTTACACTCACTTGTAATCAGAAGAATTTAAAAGTAAATTGTAAAGATGAGAGTGCAAATTAACATGTATTGTATTGTACTAGCTTCCAATCATTCGCATGGGTGTGAAAAAAAAGACCTGGAATACTCCAGTTTCGAATTCAAAGCGAATAACCGCTGTTTTATTTGACAGCAGATTCTCTTACRCAAAGAACTTACCAAACACAAAAGAAAGCACGAGAAAATGTTGCTTGTTCAATAGCGCTAACAATTTAAATTTTCCCCGAGTTGAGGCTAACCCTGTATTCCCAGAAGGCTCATACCTTAGGTCTCATGGGAATACAGGGAGCAGTCTCAACTCGGGGAAAATGCAAATTTTGAAGTCTATTGTAACAACGACATTTTCTCGTGCTCTCTTTTGTGTTTGGTCAGGTCTTTGCGCAAGAGAATCTATTGTCAAATAAAGCAGCGGTTTTGCGCTATGAATTCGAAACTGGAGTATTCGAATGATCGTCGTTTACCGATTCCAACCTATTATGATTTAAATAGGGGAAATAGAGGGATTCCAAAAATTTGCTTGAAATTAAAA